CGTCACCTATCCCAGTGAGTGAGAAAATCTGAAACAGGGATGTGCAAGAGGAAGAGTTAGAGTCAAGCCAGCAGAGGCAACGCTGAGGAGCAAACTGGGCTAAGGAGAGACTGAAGAAGGGGTGCCTTTGCGCTGGGAAGGGCTTTGCAGAGCTCTAGGTCAAAACCCGTCTTTGTCGAAGCCCCCCTACAGGGGCAGCAAGTTGTAGGTGGGATCCTACTGAAGTTCCTGAAACGAGGAGAAGTGGCAAAAGGCTTCCTGGCGGGCACTAGCGGTGGGACACGGGGACCGGCGTCGCGGCTGTGGGTTTGGGCGCTGCAGTGCAGTGGTTTGAATCACGCTGGTGTCGATATCTGTGTGGCCTCCTTTGTAGAGGGGGATGACAACCCCCCCTGCAGCTCACAGGCGCTGAGGGAACAGACTGGGTCCGTGCACGGTACCAGGCCCGCGGAGGGGACTCGGGAGCTGTTCAGGGCTGTTACCTGCCAACAGAGGGTTCTGCACCCTACTTCCAGACACTGTCTGCCAAATCATTATAAGGACTTCGGAATTAGACTGCTACGTTAGACCTTTGTTACTTTACTTCTTGGAGCTTTGGTCTGTTCATCTGTAAAGGGGGACTAATGTCTATAGCACATACCCAGCACTGAAACTCTGTATGTTAATAACGATTTAGTATTAATCTCCCAACCAGAGGGTCACATGTACAATTATCTCTCTTTCCTAGAGTTAAGAAAAAAAAAAAAATCAGGTGAGTTCAGATTGATCACTGCAGTCTAAGTTAGACCTGCCCAGGTGGACACAGTGAGGGTCGAGGAGTTTCAATGGCGTGATGCCTTTAGTCGGGTGGCGTTAAGGTTTCTGTCAGCTGTTTGAACATACGCTTCTGTAATGAAACAAAATAGCCCCAAACCTAAGATTTCTTGAGCTTGTCTCAAGACTCTCGGACTTGCTATTGTTGAAAGTAAGTTGTAGGCGAGATCCTAATCTCGGAGCTGCAGACTCTCCCTTTGAGAGTGGTATCCTCAGTTACCTTCAATGCCAGCAGGGAGCAGAAATGTCCCTGCGGACCAGAGCTGCCACGGTGATAGCCACTTGTTTTCCAACAGGAGACTCAGGCAGTGGACCAGATCCGGGCCCCGAAGGAGACCCCAGGGACATGGCTGGCTTTGAAATGATTTCCCTGAAATTATCTTCCGCTACCCAGTTCGAGACCTTGAAGAAACTTGTTGGCAAGTGTGTAACCGTTGAAAATTCTTCACAGTCAGAAACGGGAAACAGAAACTCACTCTCTTTTGGTTTTGGATTTTGGGTGTTGTTCAGATGGTTGAGATCTGTGGGTTAAAGTGCATTAATTAGAATAATATAGTCAAGGATTTAAGGAATTTGAGTCCAATTTTGAACCCTTCCACTACCTCTGGCTTGACCTCAGCTCAAGTCCTTAATCTTCTGGTCTCTTCCTCCACCTGTTCAAGATGCCTCTGGCCACACACTGAGCGCCGCAGCTGGAGGAATAAATTAAATAATGGGCTTTCTATCATCACTGAGAATGGAGTAAATTGCTCTTTTGTGGGATCCATTAGCTCAGCTGAGAATATTAGCCCAGGATTCTGAGTCCCTGATGGACTATAAGGAGTAGGGTAGCATCAGTTCTAATGTCTTGCTTTGCCCCTAAATGATTTGACAACAGATAAAGTGTACAGGGAAGAAAGAGCAAAACAAGGACAGAAGAGAGGGCTTGGGAAGTCAAAAGAAGAGACAAACGATGGAGGGATGGAGGACCCTAGGAAAAGAAGGGGGTCATGATGGGGACAGAGAGAAAAGAGAAAGCGGGGGTGGCAGGGGGAAACTGGGGCAGATTTAACACTCACAGCAGCAAGTGGTTTTAGAGGAGTTCACTTTTGTTCTCGCCACCATCCTATGACATAGCTACTTTTAATGACCCCTTTTTATGGAGGAGGAAACTGGGAAAACCAAGATTTGACCGTTATGTCCTTGGCTTGCCTTCAGAGGAGAGAAAGAAAGAGAGAGAGAGAGAGAGAGAGAGAGAGAGAGAGGAAGAAAGAAAGGAGGGAGGGAAGGACAGAGGGAGGGAGGGAAGAAAAGAAAGAAAAAAAGAAAAGAAAAGAAAAGAGAAAAGAAAACTTTGTAGGAGCCTGGTTATTTACTTTCAACAATAGCAACTTCTAAGCTGTTCATCTGAAAAAAAATATGTATTCTGCCTGCCACCAAAATATGGCCAAACCAATGCTGTGAAGTTTCTCTCTCAACATAGAGTTCCGAATATCCCTTCTATAAAGACCTTCATGACAAATTCCTCTCAGAGCTTAGGCCAGGAAAGACTCGTTCCTAAACCAACTCTGTGATTCCTTCCACTTGGTAATGAGAATTATGAAAATCTTCATTTTCCCTCTTTCACGTGGCTGTGAGGAAGGTTGGAACTAAGTGTTGTGCTCAAATGCTATTGTTAGTCTCAGCAAGAATTTTTTCTTCTTATTTTTTTTAATATTTGTACTTCATGGCAAACCACCTAAGTCTCTCTGGAAGAAAGCACAGTATAAATAAACAAAGGACAAACAAAATACAATTCTGTTGGGAGCATACTAGGGACATAATACTTTACCAAAATAGTTTACATAACACTCTGAAATCTCTTTATCCCAAGAAGGGTATTCTAAACAGAATCCTGGGCAGATTCTATCGTTCATGGTGTTTATCACATTTTTTATGCCTCTCAAATAGCATTCCAAACCTCTTTGGGTAAAGAACATAGCATCTAGAGAAAATTAGCTGATTGCTCTCATATGTCTTCTTGTTACAGGGATCTAATTAACGTTTTGAATCTTGTCCAAAACTGTGCTCTAAAATAACCAATTTAAATCTACATTTATCAGTCAGGCTAAAAATGAAGAATAGTTCCACTCATTCCAACCGTTCACTGGTTAATGACTATGCTTAATTTGTAGATTTTTTTTGGTTCCAAAATTTCTTCCAGGAACAAAGCCATAGCGTGTCCTGCTGATTGATAAGCACTCCACTCCGCGTCCTACCACCCATCCCGGGAGCCTGTTAAGAGCCAAGATGTAAGTTAATAACAAAACCCCATCATCTCATGTTTGCTACTTTGTGAGTGATCAATCCTTTCAAAGAACAAAGCTTTTCATTTCCAGAAATTTCTTTTTTTTTTAATTTATTTTTAGGGAGAGGGGAAAAGATGGAGAAAGAGAGGGAGAGAAACATCCATGTGTGGTTGCCTTCTGTGCATCCCCTACTGGGGACCTGGTGTGCAACCCAGGCGTGTGCCCTGGTTGGAACAGAACTGGCGACCCTTTGGTTCGCAGGCCGGCGTTCCATCCACTGAGCCGCCCCAGCTGGGGCCCAGACCTTTCACTACAGGTATGATTTCCTCTGCCTCAGTTACTTGATTTTAGTAATTTAGCAGTTTGACTACAATGACTCCGTTTTCTTTCTTCATTCTATTCCCCAGAAGCATTTTTTAAAAATTAAATGTATTGGGGTGACATTGGTTAATAAAATTATACAGGTTCAGTGTACAATTCTGTAACACACCATCTGTATATTGCATCGTGTGTTCACCATCCAAAGTCAAATTTCCGGTCACCATGTATTTGACCCTTTTTACCCTTTACTGCCTCCTCTCCACCCTCCTTTCCCTCTGGCAACAAACAAACAAGACAAACAAATAAAAACTCATACAGATAACAGAAACATTTAGTTTTGGTGTTCAAAATATGCAACTGGATAGAGTTGGTCGTCAGGGCACGGGCAGGGGCCATGTGCTACTGTGAAACATTTTCGTCCAGGGAGCGGACCTTGTAATCAATGTATTGGCAGGTGTTTTTGTTGTCCATTTTAGTTACATTATCAACAGGGAAAAGTTATTTCTGAAAAGAAGCTTCATTTTTCCAATTTAGAAACTGCTTTGGAATTTCATCCAAAGGTCTCTAAAAAATACGTTGGCCTTGGTGCTGGTGCATCAAATAAATTGCAAATGAAACAAACAGGCTGGCCTCTCATCGAAGGTGTGGTTGCAGAGCCCTGTGACTCTGCGTGCCAGGGGCTCTATCCGGCACATTTCTGAACCTTGCAAAATTAATTGTGCTGAACAGAACATCATCAAACACGTCCGGCATACAGGGTAAACATCTTCAGACCATGATTCTGCGCCATCAAGCGCTCTCCAGCTAATTTCATTTGGTGCATTACTCTGGAAGAAAATCGAGGCCAAGTGAAACTGCGGAAATGGGAACAATGCAGGGAGGAAAAATCTCACCCCATTAAGGGAGCCGTTTCTTCTCCCAGCAAATAAGCCCACCACGCCTTGGAGGCAAGACTAGATGGTTCCAGGATATTCTTAGAACGCCCTGCGGGTCCTGTTGTGCTGAGGGAGCCTTGCACCGGCGAGAAGGAAAGTGGCCTGAGAGGCAGCGCCCCGGCCCTAGGGGCATTTTAGGTAACTCCTAAAATCTATGCAATCGACCCCCTCCCTTCCCCACTCCAAGGCGCAGAAGGTGGTTTCCGTGTGCATTTTCAGAGAAAGCTAAAACAAGGCCCCCCTTTTCCTCTGCTATGCACTGTTTGCAAAGCGGATTAACAGCGTTCGGGCAGGCGTTCTCCTTCCCGCGGGGCCTCCTCGCGCTAGGCCGGCCTTGCGTGAGGATTTGCACAGGCTCGCCGCTCCGCTCTTTGGCTCTCCCGTGACCTTCCGAGTTTGGCCTCGGGATTGGCCTCGCCGCGGAAGCACCACTCTTGGAGCTCCGGCGCCGCGCGCGCGGCCGCTCTCCTCCGACTCTCAGAGGCCTAGCAGGCGAGCGGCCGACGCGCGCTGCCGGGCCTGGCGCTGGGGAGTGGGGTCGGCCGCGGGGACGCGCAGACAGCTTCCGGCGGGGGTGCGCGGGGCGGGGCGGGGCGGGGCGGGGGGCGGGGCCGGGGCCGCAGCGCCCCCAGCCGAGTGGCGTGCAGGCACCGCCCCCGCGCGCCGCAGTCCGGGCTCGAGCGTCTTCTCCGTGGCCGTGGCCGTGACCGTTGCCTCCGCGCGGCTCTGGCGGCAGCAGCGGCTCCGGGGGCTCGCAGAGGGCAGCGGGCAGCCCTTCGCCCGTGGCCGCCTCCAGCAGTCAGCGCTGGGACAGGGGTCGGAGGACGCGGCTGCGGGTAGTGCCTGGCCCTCCTCGCCTCCAGCCCCGAGCGACTGCGGGCTCCGGGCAGTCCCCGGGCGGCGGCCGAGGCAGCGGAGCGGCCGGCGGGGGATGGCGAGATAGCGGCGCGGGAGCGGCCCGTGAGTGCCGGGGGCGGGTGGGCGCGGCGCGGCCAGTGGGAGCCGCGGAGCCCGGAGCCCGGTCCCGTGGGCGCGTCGCTGCGAGCGCCTGGCGGCCCGGGCAGGCTTGGAGGCAGCGCTCCGGCCGCCTCTGGTCTCAGGTCTCGGAGAGCATCCGAGATGAGTGACCTGCGTGGGGGGAGGGGGAAGCGCTCCGAGTCGCGCCGCTCCGCGCGCGCCGTTGGGCCACTCTCGGGTCCCGGAGGGCGCTGACTTCGCGGCTGCGAACTTCTACCCCACGTTAGGGCATTAAGTTCTAAGACCAGAGGCTACCGGGGGGATGGGAAGGAGATTTAATTTTTATTTTGCCTGTATTTTTATAGGCTTATATCCCAAGGCACTATATTGATTAAATCCGAAGTTAAAGTGTTAGCGATTAGTTAGGCTTCATGACAAATAGCACTTTTGATGTGTTGTCTAACAGGACAGGCTGGAATCATGGGTTCTGACCGACAGAAAACAGTGTATCAATGTAGTGGATTTACATCTAGGCTTGAATAACTTGATTCTTTCTGGTCCTCATCTTTTACTAGCAGAAATATATGAAGTCTTTTGTTTGCATTTGGGTATCTTTGTGTTTCTTTTTATATGGGTGTGTTTAATACAGTTAACTGTTGATACAATATGAGTGGTATTTGTGTGGAAATTATTTTTGTGCATTTATGTGTTCTTTTAAGATTACATTCAACAGAAAAGTTTCCTTAAAGTTTTCCTTCCTATTGGTTCGTTTTCACTTTCAGATTTATCTTATTTAAACAATTGCTTGAAGTAAAATTAATGTGACTTAATAGTATTATTCTGGGGTAGGAAAATGATCCATAGCCTGTATTTAAAGCAATCTCCCCTCCCCCACAAATGACAACGCTTTAAAAGCGTTTGTTTAGGGCAAATGATGCTCGCCCCTCCCCTTAACTGATTATTTTGCCACAGATCTGAAATCATATTTCACTAATATCAGAGAGTTCTTTGTCTGAACCTGGAAGAGAAAAGGAAACCTAAGTATAATGTGTTTTTATTGTAAAATCAGGAGACTGTCCCCTTACTTGTTTCTTACTTAGACTTTCTGGAAGGCCAGGTGGAAACTGTGTTGCTTTGTAGGCTTCATTGGGTAGCTACATGAGCAATTGAAATATGCTTATGTTTTTTAGGTGAACTGCACAGCTATTTCTCTTCCAAGAATTGAATGAAGGCTTACTTGCTTTGTAATAGGTTAGCTCACAACAAGCACGCCTCCCTAATTAGCAGAGCCTTGGATTCTCTTCTGGGAATTAAGGATCAGGAACTGTGCAGTCCAAGAGAGCAAACGTTTGTGATTTTTTGAATGCTTTTGCTTTTTGATGGCCATCCCTGAATAGTAAGTTGTCAGTAATAGGACACATTCTGATATTTTAAATTACCCAAATAATATGTGGGGGCAGGCTGTCTGTGCACACTGGGGAAGATTCAATAGGTATAGAAAGGTATAGAATGCAAAGTCTGCTCCTCTCTCCCCGTGCCCCACTGCACCCTGTCCCCCTCGTCCCGGCGCCCCCCCCTCCCCCGTCTCCCCCCAACCCCCAACCGGGGTCTCTAGCTCCTTGCTTATGTCTTTCCAGATGTTGCCTTTGTGAGTATAAACATTTAGTATGTGTTCTTTTTATTTGTCTTTCCAGGTATAAGGACACTTTGTATACTCTGTTCTGCACCAGCTCCCTGCCCTCCGCTTGCAGTACTAAATCTTGGCAGCCTCTCTTATCAGCACCTAAGAGGGCTGTCTCATTCCCTAACAGCTGCTGAGCACTCCATTAAGGAGAAGCCGTAATTGATTTAACCTCTTCTTTATTGAGATAGGTGTAGGTTGTTTGTAATATTTTGCTATAAGATTGTAAAACATTAGTTTTTGAGGTTTTTAAGTGGATTTCAATTATTGCCAGAGGCCCACAGAAGTAATTTGCTTCTTTGCAGCACATTCCAGGAAATAAATGCCTCTTCACTCCCAGCAGACACCTTTTGCTTTTAGGTAATTTCCAAGTGATCCATAAGGATCTTTGGTGTCTGTGATGAACTGCTGATGGCCAGGAACTAAAGCCATATTCCTTGATTAACACCTTAGTTCTTTGTTTTAACACAAGGAATATAAGTACAGAGAGAAATTTTTAAGAATAATCTTAAGAAAAATTCTTAAGAGTTGAAATATTTTTAAATATGGAGAAAAGACTCATACCTTTGATTCAATTCAGCACGACAGCAGTTTGTGTTCTATAAAACTTGGTTGCTTCCGGGCACTAAAATCCCTCCCTTCTGTGTATTTTCACCAATCTCTCCACTTGTATGATTGCTCTAATATGGTTATAGATTGCACAGTTTGGGGGGATGTTATTAATAAGTCTTCAAGGGGAATATGCTTTTAAAAAATTCTCGTCTCTTTCATTTTAAGTTAAAAATTGAATTCTCAGAGTGCTGGCAGAACAGAATAAATTGTAGAAATCGTGCTAATGCTACCACTTCTAATGCTAATGCATCAGAAACTGAGCCTAATGCATCATAAACTTTGAGTATTAGCCAGTGTTGAGCTTCATATTTCCATTATGTTTATTTGTGAGAATGTTTCTAAGATGAGTCCAAGCAATAATGACCTTTTTGTTTTAACCCATCAAACAAATGTTTTAGCATTTAAGGTGTTTTGTTTTTCCTTTGTCATGTGGTACCTGTCATCGTGGTACAAAACTGCGAATGTTGTTTATATTTGCTCTTCCTCAGTAAGTATTTATTGAGCGTCTGTTATACTATTTCAGGCAACTTTATAGGGACTGAGAACATAGCAGGGCACGACCGACTGGCCCCACCATAATGAGTTCACATCTTAGTGAGGCAGACAGAAGGCAGAGGAGCAATAAAGGAGATAATATCAAATAGTGATAAATACTGGAGAAGTAATAAAATAGGAGACGGTGCTGCTGGTGTAGACTGTGTGGCTCTGGAAGCCTCTCTGAGATGGAGAGATTTGGGCAGAGAGTTGAAGGACAGAAATGAAGCCTGTGTTTTTGGAGATCTGGAGGGAGAGCAGCGCAGGCCGAAACAGCAAGTGCCAAGGCCCTGGGGCGGGGCTGAGCCGGGACAGAGGGCTGCCCGCGTGGCTGGAGTGCATGAGGAAGGGGGACAGTGGCGGGTAGGACAGAGCAGGCAGCAGGCTCTGGGGGCCACCCTGTATGTTTTCATGTGTCAGAGACGGTTTGCAGAAGTGGAAGAGAGACCTTGGGTGGTGGAGCTTCTCCGCCTGCTCTTAGCTCCCGGGGGGCCGGCTCCCCGACACCAGGGACAGCCTCCGTCACAGTGGGCCGGGAATGACTGTTGAATCAATAAAGAGTCAAAGAGTCTCAAAAACAGTCTTGCCCAACGTGAGCCAGAATGCCAGCATTCGGAAGGCTTTTATCTGAGCTTCCCCGCGTGGCTGTGCCCGCTGCCGTTACCAAATCTGCTACACTGTTAACACCACCTCTCCGATTATTGCTGTAAGTCACTTGCCTTCAGTGGCTGTTCTCTGAAATTAAAGTATGACGCCTTAAAAACGTGCCTGATTTTCCAGGTCATTATACTGATTTCTAAGTCAGTCAGAACTTTACCTTGATTTCAGTGGATTAGCCATTTGCTAAAGTGTAAAACCTTCAGAGATGCCCCGACTTTTTTGTACTGAATGTTTTCATTCTTTCGGGGTGATGACAGACTGATGATCACATATATGGACTTTGTGCAGGTACTTTTTTTCCTCATGGGAGGAGTGTGTGCATGTTCTATTTTAGGGAACATCAGGAACTGTGCTATTTCCTCTTCCCACTTCTCATCTGTTTGTCATTCTAAATATATGTTCCTTTATGTTAATTGAAAGCTTGGGAAAGGAATGTTATGCCAAGTGGTTGTTACAGACACCTAATAAGAATCTGCTGTCCTTGTCTTGACTGTGACTTTTGGGCTCCTGTTCAATGTCAGGAGTTTGGGGATCTTGCAGAACCAGGGTTTTTAGTTTTTCAGTTTCCTATTCTACTTGGTGATACCAGACCCCAGTAGGTTGTTTGCATGTGAGATGACTTTATCATCCATCCCACTCTTACAAGCTCTGTGCAAGCGCTGCATCAAGGGTGGATTCTCTGACTGAAATCTTCAGTCAAGTTTCCTTTGTCACTGTCATTGAAGTGAAGGCTCTTCAGATAAATAGCAGATGCCTGCGAGCATCTGTGGTACATGTAACTAGTTGTGGTAAATTTAGAGACTTAGGGGTTTGAGTGAGAGATGCGGCATTTGCACCTTTGCCTTACGTTGTTTAAAATCACAACACACCTTCTCACCAGCCATGGCTGCTGCTATTGCTCATGGGAGCAGTGGTTGTGTTTTATGGTTTTATGTTGCACGTTGAGGAAAAACTTCTGGTGGGCACATTTTTCATGTGCTTTTGCACAGAGGCGAGAAACTCTTGGCTCTCATCCTTTCTTCTGGCCCGTAGGGCAGGTACAGAGGAAGACTTGGAATTGTTTTATGTGCATGTAGGTGAGAATACAAGTGTTACCTGTTATTAAGTGGCAGTATCCTGAAAGACCACAAGGAGGCGATATTAGTTCCTAAAAGTCCGCCTGCTGCTCTTCCCTAGAGGGGGCTCCGGGTGCCGAGGCCCCTTGCCGTGCCTTCCCGGGACCGCGTAAGGAGCGGAGGCCTCCCGGGAGACCCGTGCAGTGGTGGTGGCGGGAGAATCTGGTGGAAAATAACAAGTGGTGGCAGAAGTAGCTCTTCCCAGTTCTAATATTAGAAATGCTAATGGAGCAGTGAGTTGTAAACATTCCATAGACCGACTCCTGTGTCTGTGGAGTTCCGGGTGGGGGCGGGGTGGGGAGGGGGGAGCCGCAGAGAAGTAAAAATTCACCACCGGGACTTGAGTGCTGCGGCCCCCGAGGGTGCCAGCGTGCGCCTTCACGCTGGGGTGCCCGTCATTG